GATTGTACGCCTCTCTCTCTCTCGGGAATTTCGACCAACCCCTTTTGTAATAATTTATGTAGCCTCGATGCATTTTTTTTCTATTTATAGACCTTGTATTAGGTTTAATGAACTTTTTTCGAAGTTCTTAAAAACTCTCCTCCATTTAAAATTTATAGGCTTTTACTTAAGCTTGTTGGCTCAAGCATCTTTGGCCCAATGACTTAGCAATTAAATGAATCAAATAAACAAGCTAGGTTAGGTATTTTAGAGAGGCTCAATTTAAGAAATTATTTCCTAAATTACCCCTATCGGATTAGAAAATCCAAATTAGAAAATTATTTCCTAATATTTTAGGAAATCTAATTTAGGAAACTATTTTTTAATATTTTAGAAAACTCAATTTAGGAAACTATTTCCTAAATTATAAGAAATCCAATTTAGAAAACTATTTTTAAATTAGAAAACTATTTCTAAAATTATTTTAGTATTTAAGGAATTGAAATCAATTATTTCAATTATCATTTTTTGTCATAGTTCTTTACTTCTCTTTATCTGATTCGAGTGTCAAGCTTATGCATGTGACTCAATAGGCTTTTAGACATATTGGTAATGTATCAAGACGTAAAAGATAAATTTTTTATCTCTCGATATAGAAATTAGGATTGGCTTCTAGCAAGACATTATGACTACTAATTATCAATAAGGATTACTTAATCCATAACAACCTTTTATGAGTATAGTTTTCATATAATTCGACTCATCATGTCAATTTATCACATTGTGATCTTAAACTTAATTTGATTTCTATTCGATTATGATCACATAAGTTTTCTTCAATCTTAAAAAAACTTATGATCTTCGAATGTCTTAACTCTTAAGTAAATTAATCATGCTCTATTGGTATACTTCTACCGTGGTCATAGATTCTTTAGTAGACATTTATCTAAGTATAATGTGATAACTCCTTTAGCATAGAACGAATGAAATGTCCTATCGTACTTATCCACCTATCTTTATTAAATTCTCAATGTACCCAATAAATCGCCCATATATAACTCTTTATTGAGCCCATCATAATAAATATCAAAGTAAATCAATTTTTTAATGAGATAACCATGATAATTTCAAGTCAAAAGACTACTTGTACCCATCTCGTATGAGATTCTCATAAACTATATAAAATGGGTTCTTATGGCAAGTCATGTCCAAGTGATATGTTCTCTAACATTATTTACTCGTGTGCTTACTTAGGCATCATTATGCTAGTAGATATGAGATCTTCTACTCGTTATTTTATAATAAGAGCACACAAGTCTTATCACATATTTTCAATGTCTAATTTTGATAATGCTATGACTTGAGATATTTAATGATTTCATTTAAATGTATTAGTGTTTGTCTCACATCTATTAATCAATCATCAAGATAATGAATATCATATAGACTTCTATCTAATTCAATCAAGTTATAAATAACATGAATTAATAAAAATACTTTTTTTAATTAATAAAAATACAATAATACAATATTCAAACCATCTAAACATATTGGATTTTGGACACCTATACTAACAAGTATGAAACTCATAAGCTAGGCAATGAGTAGCTTATCAAATGAACATAGTGTTGCCATAAAAAAAACTAAGTATAAAATACTCATGGTCCGACTAGTGTATAACTTAGCCGGATGGATATGGTATTGCTATTAGGAAAACTAAGCATGAAAGCTTAATGCCCGACCAATACATAGCTTAGTTGCATATAATTTTTAAGTGCCAAGTACGTATATTTTATTTTATTTTTTAACCATAAAGAGTAAATAATATTTAACCATAAGGTGAAACCAATCTTTAATGAAACTTGTTTTTTTTTTAATTAGGAAAAAATACTCAAAAATTACAAGAGTCAAGAACAAGTTTATCAATAGAAATTAGGATTCTTAACAAAGAATGTGCAATTGAGCTATCAATCTTGTCTATTTCTTCCACATGGCATATGAGAAATGGCATTCACTTGGTCATTGTTGTGATTTTCGTGTTATGGTAAAGGTTTTTCTTTAACACTATTTTCATTATCAAAAACTATCTCTCATTTGTTTAGCTTGTCATGAAACAAAAACCTTAAGTTACGATAATTTTTTGTTAAATGCCCCACGTATCTATCGTATTGATAATACTTGAGATTTTCTTTATCTTTTTGAGATAAGAGTTTTTTTCACCAATGGGAGAGCAACAACTTGGCTAGCCACCCATCCATCTAATAGAGCATATTCCATGTCCATAGTGTAAGAAAAAGATGATGGTGGATTGAGTTTCATAATCACTCCTTTTGTTCTTTTATTAGTTCGCTCATCTAGCTAGATGACATTTATTGAAAGACCCTTCTTAGCACTAATAAAAAAGAAGTGAAGTCATTCCTTCTAGAAAATGATAATGGAATTATTGGTTCAACGAGCACTTTCTACTAAGGTAGAAAAAATAGTAAAACCTAAATTCTCAAGATGTATCTTGTATTCTCTATACATTTTTTGGATATATAGTTTAACAACTTCCCTCTCACCAAAGCCGTCTTAGATGTCTAAGAAACGATCTCTAAATTACTCAATTTATTCCATCAAATCCTCTCTAGAGCTTTGATATTCTCTTCCTAAGTCAAACATGGTCACCCGTTTATTAGTGAAGAAAAACTTTTCGATAAATAATTTGCACATGTTTGCCTAAGTTTGGACAAAACTAGGAGTCGGGTTTGTATACCATATATATGCCTTCTCAATCAAGGACTTAGAAAATTCTTTCAAATTTAAATAATCATTTAAACCATAAACACCCGAAGTGTCTACAAACTTCATAAGATGCTCTTTAGCATTTTTTTTTATTTTTGATTGAAAACTATGAACTTGGGACTCATATAGTCCTTTGGGTAAGGCCTTACAGGTGATAGGAGTTGGATAAAGAAGTTTGAGATCAAACTCACCAAGTAGATTTTGCTAACTTTCGTTCAAAAACTTTTTTAAGTCCTCATCGGTAAGATAGTGATGTTGATCATTAGAGTGTTGATCATTGGAAGCGGTAATATAATGATGTAATTAGTGGTCTTGTACAATCGTATGATGGTTGTTTAGTATGGGAATATCTTTCTTATCATCCGGTTGAACAAACGAGTATGATGTGATTATCAACATTAATATTGGCGGCGTCATATTTTGATGGACATTAATTAATCCGTGATTTTTTACCCATAGATAGTAGTTGTGTAATGCTATTAAAGGTTTGGGTAAACACAACATTGTTTGTTTCATTGAGAAACTTTGAACACATGTTGTTGTTTTTACTCGTATTTTGAGTTGAGTGTCTTGAAAAAATTTCAAGACTTTTTTCATTGATCGAAGGTCGAAATATGGAATAGTCGTGGTAGAGGCCTAAGCAACGAGTTGAAGTAAGCCACCTTCGATAGTGTTGGGAAGCTATTACCGCTAACTTGAGTGTTTAAAGGGTTGTTGACATTCTTAGTAAATAAGCGAGGCTAATACCATCAACATTATGATTAGGATTATGCATGATATTATCATTGTTGTGGGTAGTTGAGTCGTTAGCAGGATTAGTGTTCTTCTTAGTTGTCTTGGAATAGGTCATTATTATTCACAATCACTAACTTCCTAAGTGGCGTCACCAAAATGTAGAGGGTGGTTCTTGAGAATTGATTAGACGACCGATCGATAGATTTGTCAAGATGCAAAGAGCTAATGTTGTGACTTGTAAAAGTGCTCGATCAAACAACTAAGTAGAAAAGATATAAATAGTGAAAGACATGAGAGGATAATCTCGTAATGCTAATAAAGCATAATTCAAGTGGTCGGAGGTTGGTAGTCAAAGTCCAAATATTTTTAGGTGTCATCTAGCGTGTGAGTAGGAGAGTTTAGGTGTTTCTTTTGCTAAATATTGAAAATTCTAAAATCTAAAGTTCTCCGATGAAAGAGTTTTGATTCCCTCATAATGATATAAGATTGGTATTTATAGTGAAAGAAGATGACTCATATTATCCAAGTTTGGATAGTCGATTTGACTTGAAAGATTTAGGTTCTTTGGCTTAACCGCTTCGGTTTGCAGGTAAAGGCTAAAGTAAGTAACGATTAAGCTTTCCTTTAACGAACCCTACATCGAGCCCACCGAGCACATCTCTCTAATGCATCTTAAGAACAAGACATGGACATTGACCCCGTTAGAATACCCATGTCCATCTTTGCGAACTAAGACTTTGTGTTGAGTTAGGTTCATTCTTAATTCCAATCCATTTATCAAGCAATTTGGATTCTTTATTAAAATCAAAGAAAAATAATATGAATTAATATAGAATAAAAATTAGTTAAGTTACTCAATTAATTTTAAGAAAAATCTAGCATCTACATACCATAACATAGAACCATTGACTAGAAGGCCCAATCCATCTAAAATGAGGATTTGATGTATTGATCAAGAAGCCCTGGTGCTAATTTAAGCATCAAATTGCCAAATTACCCTATACATGACTAAACAAGTAGTGTCCAATCATTCATGCAAGGATCAAAGTAGTGTTTCTCCTTTTCTTCAAAAAAATAAAAAGAAGTATGGTTCGATTAAAATAATAAAAGATGATCAACCGAAAATTTTACTAAAGTAAATAAATAAATTAAAATTAGTGGAAAATAGATGTAAGTAACAATTACATTTGACAGAAGGAGAGCAATCTTAGCGGATTGGGAGCAAAGGGATGAATTTAATTAAATTGATGAAATATAGAATTAATCCTGCAAATAAATTATAATTCCAGTCTAGGTAGCCAGAGCCAAGAACTAGGATAGGGGTATAAGTGTCCAGACACAAAAGATAAGGAAAAAATAGCCAAGATTCAATCTCCGTATGAAGGGTAATTTCGCCCTTCTGCTGAATAGCTGGATAAACAGTCGTTTTGGATAGGCCATTTTCTCCGTCTCTTATCAAAGCTACCAAACAGCTGCTCACTGATGCTGGATAGCTCTTGACAATGGCTTCTTCTTCATTCACTTCTTCTTGTCAGACCAGGTAAAAAACACTAACCCTTTTGTTATCGTTTTCAACTATTCTACGTTGTTCAAGGGTTTTCTCCACACTTTTTTTATGTATTGGATAGTTCTTGGTAACCAAAATGGTGGTGTTTTTTTTTTTTTGGGAGAATTAAAGATTTTTTTTTTTGAATAAATGGGTTTGGTGCAGATAAAAAATTAGAAATTCTTAAACGGTTTTGCTTGTATGGGAGCTTTTTTATGACCGAACTTTGTGTCTTGCTGTTGAAGTGTCAAGTCCTTGAATCAATTTGGTATGTTATCTGCAAACTTATTAGTGATTTGAAGGGGAATAACCAAAGTATGAAAGTACTTCCAGGGTTGTAAGTGGACATTTGATTTGGTTGGGTTTGCATCAAATATGAGCAGGAAATGTAGTGGTTTATGGATTAGAAAGAGCCCAGCCATCGCATTCTAATCTGCATAGTTAGTCCTTATAAATCCAATGCATTCTCAAAGATAATAAATTTTTTGGTGTTGAAACTTGTTGGATAAAATGGTTTATCTGCTGAAGTATCCAGGTTGTTTTTTGCTGATTGGTGGTGGTGTTTTATAAAGTGCTTTTGTTCGTCTTCAATGAAAATGTAGTACTGCTGTTTTAATTCCTAATGGAAACGTATAATTCAATGGCACAAATGAAGCTTGATTGAGAAATTTGTTCGCTGCTTTTGGGCTTCTTAGGCTGTTAGGACTATAAATGTGTTTTAAAAGAAGTGGCACGAGAATAAGAATGTGTACCATTGTTGATTTGGATTCATGATGTAGCCACTTGGTGTTTCCTTTTGTGTTGCAACTCTAAAATGGCCAAAAGAAGAAGCACAGCAATCATAGTTATTGGGTAATACTAACTATTTGAATACTTATATATTTAGCTAGTACGTAATATTTGGTTGTGTCTAAAAAATCTGTTTGTTGTGTACATGGCTGAAAGGAAAATGAGTTCGGATTATGTAAATTGGTTTAGCTAGGACTGAAAACTATAAAAGTATTCTGAAGTATTCTCTTCTTCTGGTGTTTCAGCAATTTGAGATCTGTATTTTTGGGCGAAAGAAATGGAATATGTCTACCTAGTGTTCCTGTAATTCGTGTTGGTTTTTTGAGAAACACTATTGAATGTAAGGAGTCACGGATAGGGAAGCAACCAATTCAAGTTCCGTCCAATGTGACAATCACATTGGAAGGTCAAGATTTAAAAGTAAAGGGTCCATTGGGGGAACTTTCAAGGACTTATCCACGAGAAGTAAAGCTCGAGAGGGATGAAAATGGAATCCTTCGAGTCACCAAGGCACTAGACACTAGAAGAGCAAACCAAATGCATGGACTTTTCAGGTAAACTCTTCCATCATTTGGCATAATATTTCTATTGCCTATTATTTCTTTGTTTTTAGCATTATTGAACTTATGTTTTTTATTAAAATAACTAGTTATTTCATTTTCGAATGCTTTATTCTTAGACCTTCAGAGGTTGTATTAGGAATGTGTAAACTGGTTCAATCTGGTTTTGAACCACTCCTGGCATGTGATGTTGACAAAATTAAGGACAAAGAGATGGTTCTTACTCTATCATGCATGCTAATTTTGAGAGAGAAGAAGAATAAATACTTTAATTGGTAACTAATTTGACGTCATGATGATTAATCCTCAATTTTCGTTTCCAAGCCAATTGTGCTGTTTCAATAATGATGGACCTGTTGAAACCTAAACCTTACTTGACACTGTTGACCTGATTCTGGTGCTCCAAAGCTTGCTGTCTGTGGAAGATTATACTTGCTATATTAGGATTGAACCAAAATCACGCACACTAACGTGACTGTACACAGTTAAAGAATTTCTACCATTTTGGATGTGTATTGCTGACTTTATAGATATATAATGCGATTGACCAATTACCTTCACTTTTAACTTCTTCTGTTTGATGTGGGTCTTCATTTTACTTTTAGTTGAGGTTATTGCTTAGTCTTGCTGGAATAGCTGGCTGTGATTTTGACATGTCTCATCTTTGCTGTAAGGAAACTTCAGTCTTTGAAGAAGCCATTTCAGGTGTAACACTGATTATGGACATGGATTGTGTGTTGACAAGCCCACTTTTAAAGACATGTCAGGCACGTCCAGGAAAGTAATGGATGAAACATATAGGATTCAATGAAACGTTCTTGACACTGTTTTTTGAAACAAGATTATATTCACTTAGGAGGCTTGAACACATGATTCTAGACACTGGCGTGAAAGCAACAATTAACAATAATGTAATAGTTATCAACCTTAGATATGGAATTAGATGATTTTGGAACTGAATGCATATCAATTTAGTCCCTGTCTCATGACCATTAATACTGCTTGCTTGAGTTTAGAGCTGCACGATTTGTATGAGAATATGAACACGTGTAGTTGTTTGGTATATTACCCTAAGTGCCTATCTTCGTGGCAGTGTCTCTTTAAGGATTTTCTCTGCATCTTTCTATTCTGATGTGAACATCGATGACAGGAGAAACTAAATACAGCAATATTGATACCTGCGTTCGAAAATGTTTGCTAAGGTCTTCGTTTTAATTCCTTAGTTGAACCCTTACTCTAATTGATACACACAGGACACTTACTGACAACATGGTGGTGGGAGTATCTAAGGGTTTCGAGAAGAGACTTCAACTTGTTGGTGTTGGTTATCGTGCAAATGTAGAAGGAAAAGACTTGGTATTAAGTCTGGGGTTGTCTCATCCAGTTAGGATGGCAATCCCTGGTAACCTACAAGTGAAGGTGGAAGAGAACACCAGGATCATTGTCAGTGGATACGACAAGTGCTCCATTGGTGAGTTTGCTGCTTCAATTAGGAGATGGAGACCCCCTGAGCCATATAAAGGTAAGGGTGTGAGGTATGCCAATGAAGTTATAAGATTAAAGGAAGGTAAAGCAGGGAAGAAGAAGTGATGAATGTATTTCTTTCGTTCTATTTTGTTGTCTCAGGGTTTTTGCTCATTGGGATGTATTGTACTAACAGTAATTCATTAAATTGGTTAGCAGTGTAATTCATTCTCCTTTCTACCGAATTGTCTCTCTGCCGAATGGATCTGGTTTAGTCTATCTTCATGCTATTATTTTTATTTATTGTATCTTTTAATTATATGTTCTAGACTCAATATGTTTTTTGGTTAAACACATAACAAACTATGATTAGTTTATCATACATTACATACTTGTAAGCGGACACGTATTCAAAACTTAATTTAGAGATATAATTTTTTTTCTTTTAGGAGCAAGTTATAAATAAAGAAAAAAATAAATAAAAAGATTCAAAATTTTAAAAATAGAAATATATTCTAGTAAAGAATTTTTTTTCTTCAGAAATGCTACAAATAAAGAAAATATAAAAAAATTCTTTTAAATTATAAATACTAAAAAAGAATAAAATTTTCTTTTAATTTTTTTCAGGAAAATTATAAATAAAAAAAATTAAAAATTGTCTTTTTAATTATAAATACTGAAAAAGTATAAAAGTTTCTTTTTATTTTTTTTAATTTCTTTATTTATAATTTGTTCTTTTATATATATATATATATATATATATATATATATATCTCCAGATTGGGTCACGTGTTAGTTAACAAGTATGTTACATATCCCAAAACTAATCTCGATTTACTATTTGATTAATCGAAAAAAAAACTAAGAAAATATAGTTAAAAGACAGTAAATTAAATCGAACGGAGCGTATTCGATGGTAACTCAGTTCGATGGTTGCTAGTTGTAATTCCATATTCCCAATTGGGGCTGTGGCAACGGCAGTTCTGAGTCGTAATGTGTGAGGCCCACAGTTTCTTATAAAGAATTGGATCTATCCTTATTCCTTGGGCCTAACTTGGCCCAATTTTCTCTCCTCCTTTTTTTGCCCCCTCCTTCTTCTTCTCATTATTCTTGTTTCTAAGTTATTTTTGGCTATTCTACATACCAAGTACTGTCTTCTGGAATCTTATATAGAATGACCCTCACCTTCCTCTACCATGTTGAGTACTTCATTATCAAAGCTCTCTCTTTTACAATTCTCTTAAACTTCTTGCGTATGAAAATTTTACTACTTTCCTTCTTCATGATCCTTAACGATGCTACAAGAAAAACTATGAGATATGTGTCTGAAAGCAAATGAAACTTCATACTTTATTATCTTCACAAACATAGATCGATCGCTATAAAGAAGGTGGTTTGCAATATATTGTGTCAATGCTAGAGATTTATTTGCTGCTCAAGAGACGTAGCCTAATTATAAATTAATTATATGCCCAATAAGAGGTTAGTATTCCTCTTGCGCATTTCATGTGCTTTGAATGATTCCTCATCGGCTACAGTTAATGCTTGAATACTTCTCATTCTACAAGTGGTTCATTCTTGTCCTCCCACGTTTCCAGCCTTTTCATGGCTTCTTGAACCTGCATTGCAGCATGATAATTCAGAAAGTGAACATACACACACATATATATGTTTGCATGTTCCAATTAATTTACCCAATATTTTGCAAGAAATTAACTATGATGTCAAAAAAATAAAATAAAATGAATAAATAAAAAATTATGAAAACTAAGGTTAGTTCATAAGGACAGTTCGTGCCATGTTGATCGCATATTTAACCTAACAAATAACCAAATTCTGCTTATAAATTTCCTTCCTTCCGTTTTTGTTTTGTTTTGGTGCATATAATTATTTGTTTCTTTTATGGGGTTCATAATTATTTTTAATTTAAGTGATCTGTAAATCGTTGCAATTTGATAGAGCTTTTTTTAGTCTGTCAGTAATGATCAGGATTTTTCCCTCAGAAATATTCATCAAACTTTGAAGAAACAGTGATATATAATATATGCAAACTTCACTTCAGTTACCAAAGAATCTCAACTCCAAATTAAATGCTCACCTCTTTATTCCAATCCGTCCAAAACGTAAACCATAGCAAAATAAGGGTTTGCAATACCGTGCCACCAATCATTCCTGACCATATTCCCTGAGTCCACACAAATATCAGGGCAATCATATACTTAACAATCATAATAGCAGTTATATACATATATATAAAACGTAATAGCTCCCTTAAAGGAATAACAAACAAGAAGATTAACAGGAGTATTTATTTAAGGCGCAAGGCAAAAAGTTTACGTTGATAAATTAAGCCTTTTGTGGTATCAAACTATTTGTGATTTCCGGATTAATTTCTCCATTATAAGGGGGAAAAAGGCAACAACAACAATAATAAAAATTTGCGATCGGACGCTTTAAAAACAACGATCACAGATTGAATCTCCAAGCTCTCTTTAAATTGAATGAGAACATTAACTAGGGTTCAATGTTAATAGAAATCGAGGAGCTGGTCTGGTGGTGTTTCTCTTGTTCCTTAATTTTTTGAATTCAAATCTTAGAACTAGTTATGAATGACCTTCAGCTATGTATTCAGCTATGTATCTGATCCGTTAAGTCAATCTCATATCCTATCAATTATAATATTTTTTATCTTAATAGATAATTAATTATTATAAACAGAATTAAAAAAAAAGCTATTTATATCCATGAATTAATTGCTCATTAGTACTATCTTAATCATATTTGATTCATTATCTATTAAGATATTTTAAATAATAGTTAATAAATTAGGCTGCATAGAATATCCGTTTTGTACCATGTGCATTGTTATTCCTATAACCAGTATTTAAGATATCTCTTTAATGAGATACGTTTTTAAAATCATCCAAACATTAATAATTTAGTTGCGATTAACACATAAACTGACCGACAATACCTCTTTGAGCATCTTCAATGCTCTTTTTATATTAAGATTTTTCTTTATAATAAAGAGGCTTGATCCAAATTTCATCTCCAATGCTCTCTTTATCATAATCTTTATCTTTAAAATTAGTATAAAAAGTGTCTTTGGCTCTTCAATACTAGAGAGTCCAAATGACTCTTTATCTTATATTTTATTAATGAAAATTATTATTTCCAATGCCACTCAACCTCTTCACCAATAGTCTTTATGGGTTTTATAGATTTTATCAAAATAAAGAGTTAAATAGAGAGTAGCATTAGAGAGGATATTGATCTTCTATCTATATAATTAATGATACTCTCTATTTATATTAAAAATGCTAAATAAAAGTAAAGAGCACCATTGGAGATGCTCTTACAGCCGAACCAAAGAAGAAAAAAGCCAATGGACATTGCATTAAGGAAAAGAAAAGCGAAAATGAAAAACTCAAGTAGTTACCTTGACACCCAGGTTGAAGTAGAAACCGAGAAATGAACCCAACGGAAGCCCAACCACATAGTAACAACCAACATTAACATAAGCAACAAAAGCTTGCCAACCGCACCCAACAGCCACACCTTAATAAATTTTCAGCATGCATTCAGCAGGTTGGCATTAATCTCAGTAGAAAAGATTCATAAATTAAATGATCGATGGACATGTAGTGTGATTAATACACGTACGTACCAGATAAAACAGGCTGAACTCCATTAAGTACAAGAGTAACAGCTAGAAGCGGACAGAGATCAGATACAGCTTTAGCCACCACTTCGCCACCAGTGAAAGCATAGCTAATTACATCACGTAATGCCATCACTGCTATTGCTGCTACCACTGAGATAATAAAAGACATTGTTGTCACCACTACAACTGAAAATGCTGCTGACTTTGGATTTCCGGCTCCCAGTTCATTGCTTACTCTCACACTGCATGCATCTTCAAGTTTAATTCGACCGTAGGTGACAATTTATTTAGATAATAAATATGAATTTTTAGGTTTTTTTTAATAATATATATGATTAGACAATGCTAGATATTTCTAATTAAACATTTTCTTATAAATAAAAGGAAACGCGTGGCAAGAACTTAAATATCTTGTACTTTATTAATTTATTAATTACAAGAGATCAGTCCATCAGAAAAGTTGATTTGCTATTATGAAAAAATTAGCTGTCTTATTTAATTGGACTCACCTTGCAGCTGCATTGAATCCAACTGAGATCATAAACACCCATCCAGAGACTGTCATGCTGCAACAAACACCCGTTAAAAAATTTTGAAGTGTCAATTTAAGTTAAGCAAACGACAGTAATAAATATTCTCTAATTAATAATGGGGTAATATATATTTATCATTTTGTTTGAATTAACGTGGATCAAATTTTTGTTCACTAACAATTTTGTTGTTGTAGGAAGCTTCTTAGTGTTTGTTAGGTAATATGATTGAAATGTCTTTTTCAAAGTGCTTTTTATCTGAAAATGCTTCTTAGTGTGTATATATATATAATTTGATGCTATTTTTGATGTTTTTTTCTTCTTCTGATTTTGATGTGAGAAGGTCAAAATCATAAATAAAGAAAAGCACCAATAAAACCCATCAATTTGATACCTTTTTTAGACCAAAAATAGTTTAAAAAGCACCAAAAACCATATGTCAAATGGTACCTTATTCCTTTCTTCTACTCCCTCCTAGTTTTTGTATTTATTCTTGAAATTAAGAGTAGTGTTACTCAAAAAATTATTATACAGATTTGGTCTACCACCTAAAATTATTGATTAAATCAATAGAATTTTTACACATAATAAAATTTGTCCATATCATTTTATGATGGACTTTGCGTTATAATTATTCGTAATAGTTTTATTATTTTGATCTATAATCTTAAATAATAAAACAAAAACATGATCCGTATAATAATTTCTTGTATACCATCGTGCCATTAGTTGCATGTAAAAGTGATTCTACGAGGAGTAATGCTAATCATATACATATATATATATATAAATGCTAACTTTTCATTAATTATTCTTTTATTGGAAAACATTAATCCTGCATGGAAAGATAATGCAAACCTTATAAATACCATGATTGAAATTTTTTGGAAAAGTGAATTTATGAAGAAATTGTCCGTATGATTATTATCTTT